CCCCCCCCCCCCCCCCGCGCTTCTCCTTTTGAGCCATTGTGCTTAACTGAATTTTATAAAGCTGATCGATATCTTGGTAAAATATTCATTTTTAAACTAGCGGCCAGCGAAATCTTTGCTTTGTGCTAAAGTCAACAGCCGCCCGCTTGCGGCTCCCATAAATGCGGGGATGCTCCCGGCTCCCGCAGAGCGGGCGCGGCGGCGCGGGGCGCAGGTAGGTGACACCCTCAGCTCTTCCCCTTCTCCTCCTTCTTTGCGTTTGTCACCTCCGGCTGCCCACCGCTGTCATCCCCCCCCCCAACCCCCCCAACCTCCCCCCCGGGCCCGCGGGAGGTGAGAGGGGCGCATGGGGCACAGAGGGAACGGCGGTTCCGTCCCGGTTTTGGGGTGCGCTGTGGAACGGACCCCGTTGAGGAGACGGGATTGAGGAGGGGGACTTGGGGTCCGAGGGGGGATCCCAGTGCGGGAGCGGGGTGAGGACGGGTCGGGATGCGGGTGCGGCTGGCCGCAGCCTTTCAGCTGGCTGCCGAGGGCTCGAGTCGTTGTGGGGCCGTCGGAGAAGGAACGGGGACGCACGGGACCCGAACCGCGCGCATCTTTCTGCTTTTCTTTCCTTTATTTTGTTGTTTGTTTGTTTGTTTTCCTTTCCCTTTTTCTTTCCCCCTCTTTTTGTGCGTTATTCCGTTGTCCTCCCCGGCTCCGCGGCGCTTTTTCGTTCCTCTCTCCGAGCGGCATTTCTCCCGTGTCCGTGTCACGGGGAAACGCCGCTGCCGGTGCCACAGGCGGTCCCCGTCCCCGCGTGGGCAAGAACCGAAAGGAAAAAGACCCCCATCCTCATTTTCTCGTTGGCAACGCGGCGAAAAAGAGGAAAACGGGCGTTTAACGGTGCCGGGGCTCGGCCGCTGGGCACGAACACGAGTGGCGTCACCCACGCGGTGACTCGGGAAGGAGACGTCTCTCGAAGCCCACGGAGAACGGGAGCGGGCTGTGCACGCGTGTCCCATTTCCCGTGCCAGGTTCCGGCTCCCGAACGAGCGGATGCCCGGGCAGTGCCGGGCTCTGGGGTACAGCACTCGCCAATGACCTCTCACCGAACTCGTGTCGCCGTTCGGGGAGGGGACACGCGTGGGAACGGCCCGGGAACGGCTCACCTCCCGGCCACGGGCAGCCCCAGCCCGGCGGGAGCGGGGCTGCACTCCGCGACCTTCCTTTACTCGTTATTCGTGCTGTATCGCTGTTAATATATATATACAGGTAGATAGATAGATAGCCTATAGAACACCCGAGCATCCCCAGCCTGCTCCGAGCCCTCCCAGCCGCATTTTCCCGCTGCCAGCTCCTCAGAAAGAGCAGCGCGTTAAGCTCCGCTTCCAACCTTTCATTCCCACTGATCGATTTAAATATATATATATATATAATTTCTATTTATTATTATTGTTTTTTTTAATTTGACTTTCGGGGAGACCGAGAGGCATCCGAACGCCCCGAGGACGAAGCCTCGTACCCGGGCGGCAGAAGGACTCCCCACCCAATCCGCCACCAAAGCCGGCGACAAGCGGCCGGACGGGCAGTCACTGTCGCTGTCACTGTCGGGGTTCCTCCCGCTCCCCTCCGGGCGACTTTCCCAGCTCACAGCCTCGATCCGAAGGCGAACTCAGCCCCGCATCGGCTCGCCGTGTTGGCCGATGTATTTCTTTTTTTCCGACTTCCCCTCCGCTGCGGGGAGGGGTTGGAGGAGGAGGGGGGGAGCGGGGGGGTGCAAAGGCACTTCTTTAATTGTCCGGGCCCCTAATGACATGCAGAGATGGCTCAAAGGCAGCGGACATCAAAGCGCAAAGGGATGGCACGTCGGGCAGGAGAGCCGCTCTGCCCCGCTTGCCAAAAGGACATCTCCTGCCCCAAACCGCCCCGAAGGTTTCTGCTGCCGAGCGGTGCGGCCAGGCGGCCCCGGCAGGATTGTATGCAAAAGCGGTCGGTGGGGATCCTAAAAAAAACCGGACAGCTCAGGGTGAGATGAGTCTAATTATTGCTGGTTCTAAAAAGAGCTGGAACACCCAAGTAGGGCTTAACTCGTCTCCTGGGAAACTGATGGAGACCTATTTTACAAGCTGTAATTCTGCTTTAGACTATTGCAGGCTAAAGGCAGTTGACACTATCCTCTTTCTTCTAGAAATAGTCCTAATCCTATATTTCGGCCGGGGAAAGTCCGCTTCTGCTCCACACTAGATTAATCCAGAAACCACATAAAACCAGGTAGGGAAGAGGATGGAAAAGGGGAGGAGGAAAATCGTTCGAAGTTTGTTACCTCTGCCCTGCCTAACCTTCAAAAGAGTAAATAGCGAAGGATGATGCAGAGTCTGCCGGCTCCTTATTTACGGGACAGCTAAAAACGGGGCTTTGGGTGTCGGCGGGAGAGGATTGGGGTTTATTTTTTTGCTCTCTCGCTGCGGTCGTCTCTCAGCGAAATATTTCTCCTCTCCGACGGAACCCGGGGGAGGCGGGGTGGCTCTGGGCGAGAAGAATCTGTTCCCTATTTCTTTTTACTGGGGGAAGAAAAAAAAAAAAAAAGTAAAAAAAAGAAGAAAAAATAATAAAATAGAGTGCCCCGAGTTTTCCCGCAGCCCCGGCCGGGCCGACGGACTTGATGTTTTATTCCTATTAAATCACCACGCGTGGAAAATGCGACAGTTTTGAGACGGGGAGGACCAGGAGAATGGGGCTGTTTCCCCCCAGGGTGGGGGATATGGGGAACCAAGGGGGGACGCGATGCCCAGAGAGGCGCAAAACCCGGCCCTAAGTGTAAAGGGTTGAGGCACAGGGATGCGAATCGGGACGGGAGGATGGGGAAAAGCCGCAGCCAGCGTGGGATGCGGCTCCGGGATGGTGAATGGATGGAGAGGTGGATGGAAGGACGGAAGGATGAAGGAAAGGATGGATGGAGGAAGGGAAGGAGGGGTGGGTGTTATATTTGTAGGTGCAGCTGGGTGTAAAATTGAATTAAAAAAAGAAAAAAGTAAAAAAAACCTCAACTTATGAGATGGGGGTGAGGGGTCCTGGAGGTCCCGCACTGCCGCTGGCCACTTTCCCAAGCAGAAATGTGGGATGGGGGGTTTACCCCCGCCTGGGGCAGCGCAGGGCAGCGAACGGAGCGGGCAGCGCTTTTGTCACTGGGACTTCTTTTCCCTTTTCTTTTTCATGCTTTCCTTTTCTGTCTCTCTCATCATCTGTTGTTGTTTTATTTCTTCCTTTCCCTCCTTTTTTTTTTTCCCGTTTCTTTTCCTTTCTTTCATTCTCTTCTCCTTTCTTTCTCTCTCCTTTTTCCTCCCCCATTTCTTCTCCTCACTTTTCCTTTCATTCC